ACATGATAATGTGGAGGATTTCTATTGGTTGATGTGCATTAAAAAATTTTTTTTTGGATTCCCGCTCTGCTGATCCGGCCGCTTAGTGTCCGAATATTAGTTGGTCACATCTAAATTACAACTTATGCTAAAATATGCTAATATGCTTAGGTCAGAACAATTTAATTCTTCGTTTAACATAACTCTCCAAGCTATTTTAAACAGATCAATTTGGAGTGGCCTTATTAAAAAATAAAATTTCCATAACTCTGTCCGAAAACCGGGTAAGGATGTCAAGTTTTGTAAAAATCGGGTTACAATTGCTGCGGGACCGATTAAAATCCCTACTTGGCATTTATAAAACCATGATTTAAATCAAAGTCGTCCATAGCAAGTATATATAATATAGTATTAGTAGAATCGATGTTTATCTTTCTTATTTGATAGTAAACTTTCAATATATGATTTAACCAAATTATCAAAAGTTTACAGCAAATACTTTATAATTATTTAGTTCTATATAAAAGATGTGCATTATTATAAGAACGTTAAATAATCACAAGCAAAAACTTGTTTATTATTATTAATTATTATGTGGTTTCTGTTTGACGCATAAATGATAATGTATTTTAGATTTAAATTTAATGAAGTTGTGTCAAAAACTTCACATATAATTTCGTTACTCTAATATTGTCTAAAAAAATTTACTAGTGTATTACAATAAAATAGTTAACATAACCCTTTATCTATAGAACATAATTTGGCATTTACAAAAATTATAGAATTAATTTAATTTAACAATATTATAACTTCTATACAGTAACTTCGAAGCAATTAAATTTCTTAAACTTGCACTAAGCTTTCAACCAAGTAAAAATAAAAAATAAAATAAATATAAATAAATATAAATAATTGAAGTGATTTATAGCTCTGGAAAGTTGTATGTCAGCACGCGATAGCAAAAAAGTATCCCGACATTTTTTAAAAAAATAACGACAAAAGCACTACCAAGCGACAACGAAAGTATTACAAATTATAATAAAAAACACCACCAAGTGACGACGAAAAATACCACTGAACAAAACAGCGCGATGATTGTTGATCAACACAATCAACTAACAGACACAGGTTAAGACCTACTCTAGGATATTCCCCATCAAAGATGTAGCTTGAAAGCTTGGTGAAAGGCTTGATGATTCGAGTTTATGACATCAATTTATAAGTGGTTATTTGAAGGGCTTATGTTATATAATAATCTGTGATCAATTATTCATCTGTTACGACGATTTCGGTTGTGCATTGATTGATTTTCTTTAACAAGTAACGTAATTTATTTCATTATAGCAATTCCTTTTACGATGGTAATAAATAGTAAAAGTGTAAAAATATAAAATAATAAAAATGTCAAAATGCAGGTATATAAGAAAAGAAGATATAAAAAGAAGAAAGATATAAAAGAAACAAATATGTGGTTTTATATATATTTTTTATCGACGCGTTTATTTTGATCCATACATATTAGGAAATCACAAAAACTAAATCAAAATTTCTGTGATTATATATCAATTAATGTTGATTAGGTCTGTTTAGTATTATAGTATGTAAAATTGTATTTTAGACATTTTTTGTTGTATATCAAGTTAGTTTAGACTACTGTTTTTTTTTTATTTCCCTTATTTTTTTTTCATCCGGCGATAGGGCTGATTGGATAATGAAAATAACAACTCAAAAAAGATCAAACTTCGCTTAGAAGACAAAATATACTATCATTTATTAGACGATGTCAAATTACACTGTAGAATAGTGTTTCTGGGTCTGTCAACCGTAATAAGTTTGGTTTATATATAGAAAAATAGAATTTATTAAAGTCCGACAGCAATATCAAAATAAATTATCTACGTATTCAACCAATCAAAATCCAGAATTTTTAACACACTGTTCTATTGCTCCGTCTTGATCTTCGACCTTCCGATTCTTCGAAAAATTGGTTTCGAAAATTTTTTCAAAGTTTATTTTTCATACTTTTACTAATCATTTATTATTACTATTATTTTATGTACCACCGTATTGTTACGTAATAACTATCGGGTTGTTATTTCGACACAATTTCCAGAGCTAAGAATTAATTTTAATGATTTTAAAAAAAATACAGTGCGCGATATCTAATCACATTAAAAAATCTAATTTTTTTTAAAATCAAATAACTAGGAGGACGCTTAATTACTATGTAAACTGATACAAAAGTTACGTTTTTGATGCCTCCAAAGTATTGTTCCATAATAAGAGTCACCACTTGCATATAACACAACAAATCTTATGTGATTTCACTCCTGGTTTCTGTTTTTCTAGTATTTAAAAAAAAATTTTATAAATTTATTTACTTATTTGTTTTTTTAAGATGATTTCTTTGGTCTTTTGATTTTATTAATGATTTTTTTAGTAATGTGATTTTATGAACCATTACAGAAAGAATGTACAATTGGTTACATATGTAATTTTTTTATATTACCTATTTAAGGAGTCCACCCAAAGGTTTCTTATCAACATAAGAAATTCATTTATTATCAAAAATCTGCTAAGATAGAATATACCAATGTAATAAATCATTTTGCATATTGCTATGAAAATGAAATAAGCAGATAAAGTAGTAATTAAATATAAATCATAAAATATGATTACTATTTTACACTAGTGTTGAAAATCTGTTTTGAAATTTATGTTCTCATGAGAACACAATTATTTAATTTAATGTTCTCAAAAATAATTTTATGCTCTCAATAACAAAAAATTCTGTTGCCATTTTTTAAAAATTTTTAGATAATATTGGTAATTTATTCAAATTTTGTCTCAAACTTGCATGTCTTTTATGTTCATTCATTTTCTTTCCAGAATTTTTCAGACTTTACTCATTTTCTAATTGTTAACTTCATTCAGTACTATACTATATAGAGAACATATTTGTCAAGCAATATGTTCTCAAAAAAATTTTCATATAGAGATCATGTTTAAAGTAACAAATATTCTCAAATCCAAAAGTATGTTCTCTTAGAACATCGGATTCCAACACTGTTCTACACCAAGAATTTGTACAAGTCATTCAGAAGTATTTTGAGTTAATCCGTATTTAAAAGTCGCCAAAATGAAAATTGAATTACAGATTTAACATTTTACGAAGTATAACTTATTGGCTCTGATAAATAATTATATTGAATATATTGGATTTTTCAGTCTGGTAAATCCGTATTCCTGTATTCTGTGAAGTGAATTTCAGAAAATTATGATCTTTTTGACACACTCCTGATCGTTTAAACTTGCCAATTATTTAAATGAATTAGTTCATTACATTTAACATAGTAAACTATAACAAATATCTTTTAAAAAAAGAGAAATGATTCATTATATAATTGCCACAGTTGTCATTAATTTTAATATACCACTCAAATCGAATCGCAGAAATAGATCCAAACTCTGCCAACTTTTGTTTTTAATATTACCTAGTATATTATCTGGTATATAGAATTACTAATTCTGAGTTAAAACTCTTTTATATATTACAGCTGTTTTCAAAAAGGTGTGAACAGCGAGGGAAATCGGAAATTCTGATTAGTAAAAATTGAATGCACGATTAGCACTGGCTTTGAAGATTCTGGAAATCTGTGAATTTCTCAAGATATGGTAATCTGCGTCTGTTCACACCTTTTTGAAAACGGCTATAAACTTTTTATGAGTGCTGCCAAGGGAAAATCTGTGAGAATTTAAATTTTAACTATACCGAACTTGAACTCAGAAAATTTGAACTCAGAAAATTTGATATCATTGATTATTAAATTTTTTGATTTTAAGTTCTGCATAGTGAAAATTTAAATTCACAGATTTTTCCTTGTCAGCACTTTACATTTTATAAAATTTTTCTAAAACTTTTTTAAAGCCTGTCTAATGATTAAAAATTCTTGTAAGCTCTTAGAATTTGATTTAATTAATTTGTATACAATCTTTATATTAGGGCTTTTGACATTTCACACCCAATCAAATTGAAGCATTGCAGTATTATAGGTCTATTTGCCTATTCGGGCTTGTTTATTAAAGAAATAAATCTACTGCAATTTTCGACAAATAGTCAATTTTGTCAAATTAAATAATAGGTTGCTGGTCCCAGTGAGGTACTACGTAATCAATTTTTAAGGCCTAGAAATGTAAGAGATCTGGGGTACTATTTACCGAAAATTACAATAAAAAAAAAAGAAAGAGAGCTCTGGTTTTAGATTAATAGACTAATCAGTGGGAGTATAATAAATATTGATAGATTATCATGTGACCGTAACACCAGCATCATAATACGTAAACTGACCTGAAACACGTTAATCTTGATAACATGATGTATGTAAACTTTTTTTTTCGATCTCGAAATAAGTTTTAACTTAAAAAGATCAAAAAATTTTTTAAAGTTATCTTACCAAATAGAAGTAAACAGGAAAAAGGGAGTTTTTAACCAAATTAATTTTTTTTTTAATTATTAAGTGTATTTATGTCAAATAAAAAAATCAATAGGTAACAAATCTGAAACACGGAGAAGTAATCTCCTTGTTATAAGTTAAGCTTTCTTTTGTTGAAAAAAATCGAGGTTTAATTACGTCTATATACCGCATATATACAGTATTAAAAAGCTTTGTGTCGTGTATCATACTTTAAACATTAGCATACAATTACGGATAAATGGTGGATTTATCACAAGCTCTTTGGAATAAAAATAACAAATTTGTATGTTATAATAAGGTATGTACGTACGTACATACGTACATAAATACTATAAAGTCTATAAAGTCTAGTCATAAATCACATGTTATTATGTTTACAGATATACAATAACATGAATAACATGGCATTTCATTTAAATTTTTCACCCAATTTTTTGTAAAATAATAAATATTTTTTTACTTCTCAAGTATTTTGGAGTAATAATTAATAAATAACGATTCTTTACTATTGTATTTGTAATAAAACTTTTGATGAATAGATTTAAAATGAAAAGATTCTCATCCGCACTTCCATTTTCTAAAAAATGGTCGAGCGGAAATCCAGAAATTGATCGGTTTCTTGAAGAAAGTAAATCAATTTCTGAAGGATCAAAACTGAAAAATTCAACTAATATTGAATCAACACTTAATTCATCTACTTATTTGTCAACGAACAAATCGTTAGAACTTGAAAAGTCGTTGAAATGGATACCTTTTCATGAATTTAGTAATTTGGTAGAAATTGGAAGAGGTGGATTTGGAATTGTATATTCAGCTATTTGGCATAATGCACCTGAAAAAAGGTTTGATTTAATTTGGAATAAGAAACGTGTCGCTTTGAAAGTTATATTTGGGTCTAATGTTTCAACTATTGATCTTTTAAATGAGGTATTTTAATTGATGCAAGTTTTTTAAATTTATCTATTTATTATTTACCATTATTGTTATTGTTATTAATGTCAAATTAATCAAATAAACTTATTAGTTAAAATCCCACCACCGATGTATGGAATCTTTTAGAGTTCTTCATTGCTATGGTATAAGTCAAGATCCATCGACTAAAAATTACATTCTAGTAATGCAATACGCAAGTGAAGGCAACCTCCAAAACTACTTGGATAAAGCTTTCACCCGTTTCACCTGGCATCAAAAAATAAATATGCTTCGAGATATTGTTTTAGGTTTACAAGCTATTCATTCAGAAAATTTGATTCATTGTAATTTTCATAGTGGTAATATCTTGCGTCATGGATATGGAACCGATCGTAATAATTTGGATACATATATTTCGGACATTGGATTATATCATTCTGTCGTTGATTCGAACGATAAAGAAAAAGTATTCGGAGTATTGCCTTATGTCGCACCGGAAGTTTTAAGGGGTGAAAAATATACTAAAGCGTCAGATGTTTATAGTTTGGGAATTATAATGTGGGAAATCACATCGGGTGAAAAACCTTTCATGGATCGTGCGCATAATATGGAATTAGCAAAAGATATTTGCAATGGTCTTCGCCCTATAATTGTAAATAATACACCAGAATGTTATGTTCAAATGATGAAACAATGTTGGGACGCGAATCCTTTAATGAGACCCACGGTTGAAAATTTAATTGTTATTATTAGTGGATTTCGAGAAGTTTCAAATTATAAAGTTCAGATAATGAATGCAGAATATCATAGGAATAACTTGGCAGGAAAATTTGGATCAAAGAAAAAGAAACACCCGGAAGCCGGCTATTCTAGTCGTAAACTTGATTTTATGGACTTGCCATTGCCAAAGAATGAACCAGAACCTTCAACGACTCAATCTGATAATCATTGTGTCAGATAGAGTTGATCCATTTTTAAATATATATTTAATTATTGTTATGAATTGAATATTTTTTAATTTTATAGGTGCGCTAGAGAATAATGGTAATTTTTAAATTTCACAAGTTTCTGTATTATATAAAAAAAAATATCAATATATTATATATTAATAAATGTATTTTATGAACTCCTTGTAATATTAACGATCATATTGTCAAAAACATGGATACAAAAAATTTATGCTACAAGATTATAACTAAAAGCTATCGATCTTCACGTTGTACGTTTGGTGTAGATATAAAATTTTTGCACTAAAAGCATACAATGTGAAGATAAATTAACAAAAATTATTCAAATCACATCAAAATTACAAAGTATTTAAAAAACGGCATTTCCAACAATTTTACTTAATGGATGAAATTCGATTTGCTTAATAAAAAATTCTGTTCTCTTGTAATATGCATGATTCGTCATTTTACCCACATTCGCCATAATACCTTATAAGTATTATATATTAACACTAATTCATATTTTTGGTTAGTTAATATTTAGTAACAAAAGGAATTAGTTTAGTTTGCATATATTTATCCTACGACCTGCAAAACTAATTAGTTTTTATAGGCTGCATAAACAATGAAATTAAATTCGTCTTGGTCTGCATGTATGAAATTAGTATTGTCTACGGTCTGCATGAGATGAAATTAGTTTTGTCGCTATTTGTGTATATGATATTAGTTTAACCTACGGGTTTGCATTGGAGAAATTAATCCCGTCTATGGTCTGCATAAATAAAACTAATTTAACTTATCGGTATAATTTTAATTATATCTATTTATTTATCATTACATTCGGCATAGACGAAGATTAATTGTCTATCGCTATCGCTGTTAGTATAAATTTTTGGTCTAGTTTTTCGCATTCGGACTGAAAAGTCTTTCCGAAGATCCAATGTGAGCCCGATTAAATACTATGATACAAAAAAGTAATTATAAAGAAATTTCCTATATGGATGAGTACACAGCAAGTATAAGATATACTATAGCTGACACCTTAATAAACAATCAATTAATTTAAAGTAGGTGTATATTTCATCCCCCGAAAATTTTAATTAACCTACCAGAGGTATACTTGCTGGCAAAACTATTGGGACATATTTGGGATGGGGATTTGAGACAATTTTATTATGTTTGGGATGGCGATTTTATTATATTTGGGATTTGGATTTTGAGATTTTTAGGTTTGCCAGCATGTATAACCCGAGGTACCGTATTTCGCGGGCCAAACCACCCCCTCCCTGTAAAATAATTACCGGATAATATGGATATTTTGATGGTGCATGCGGATGCATAATATATTTGTTATGTCTACTACGTACCGGCGATTGGTTTTCTATACTGTAGTGATAAAACAACATACAAGTTATTAATTTGATATGCACCATGGAAATATCCGCATGATCCGACAGGGGAGGGATAGTTTGGCCCGCGAAATATGGTATGTTTAGACTGCCGTTTTTCGTTTTTAAAATTCTATAATTTGATTGGCCAATGTCACGTGACATACTCCGCTTTAGATGACTCTGAAATTTCAGACCCTTACAATTCTTATATTATAATTCGCCTGGAATTATTAGCTCAAGCCAAAATCAATTCAAATTTTTTTTTACTAAAAAGAGTTTATATAATTCATAATAAATGTTTGGTTAATAATTACATAAAGATTGGCACAAATTTTAGTAGCAACTTAGCTGTTTGATGTGATTAAGCTGTTTACACCATATATTTAAAAGTGGATTATTTTTATTTTTATTTGAATTATTTAAAAAAATAATATTTTTAGAAATATATAATGCTTATTCTGCAAACTTATATTAGTTTTTGGTTTTTAGTAGTTGACATTTATTAATTATTTTTTTTACTTTTTTGTTTGTTTTTTGTATTAATTTAGATTAAATAAAAAATAAAATAGTTTATTGATATAATTATATTTATTATAACAACTTTGATATAAACAGAACAAATAAATTATAGTTTTAACTTTTAAAATAACATATTTTTATTTTTTTTAATATTAAAATCTAACATCTTTGCTTGAATGTTTTATTTAAACTTTCTGATTTGCAACTTTTGTATTAATTTAACCAGATTATCTAAAATTCAGATCCTTGTTTTAACCTTAGAACTGTTATTTTCAAGATAAACTTCAAAGCTTTTTGTATTTTATTTATAGCTTATCTAATTATATTATGATCAAAACTAATATTTACAGTTAAGCTAATCATTAAACTGCTCTAACTCTTGTAAAGTTCATTTAAACCTTAATATTTATCTTTTAATATTTTTTTTTATTTTTTCTTACTAACTGCTATTCAGAACTAATAGAATTTTCCAGACTACCAATTTAGATAGCTTAGTATAGTATACTTATATATTCTTTTTTTTTTGACAATTTTGGTAATCTTGTTAATACTTTTTTTATAACCTATCATCTGATTTATTTGATAATTTCTTTAAAAATGTTTTATAGGTTTCTATTGGTTCAACAACACTATCAAAAATTTATGCTATTTCTTTATTCAAGATTTTCAAATAGGCTTTTATTTTCTTAGTTTTTTAGTATTTTATAACCAGTAGTTTTATTATAATTTGTACTAAAATCTTTATATAATACTGGTTTTTTTTTTTTGAATATCCCTATTGTCTTAATAACTAGGGGTACAGGTGGCACTCTTTTATTAAAAGTATTATTTGTGACTTAGTTACTTTTCAAATATTTACATATTAGTTTAAAAGAT